ACACTTTCATCCTTCCTCAGAAAGTGGTTATCTTTAGATTCCATGGATACATAGAGCAAGTAAGATTTAATACACAGCAGGATCAAAACCCCACTGAACTAATTGCAAGATTCTCAGTGACTCTAATAAATGGAAGGTAAGGCTCTTGTTTGGTTTTGGTTTTGGTTTGAGGCCAGTATGGATTTTATCGTGAGAGAAAGAGGATGCGTGTCTAGCTTTTAGGAGGATTTATGATTAAGAAATGATTTTTAATTTCTAGAAGGACTGTCAAAGATTTTGCCCTTTTTCCAAATGTGAAAGGATATTTCTGTGAGAATAGATGAATAAATGAATGAACATGTATATATACACCTATTTTCTGAGGTTGATTATTTTTCTGCTTCCCTCTCTCCCTCTCCTGTTCAGAACAAGTCTTTGCAGTACAAAGACCTTGCCTTTGTGTTTTTTTTTTTAATTTGAAATACATGTATAATTTTTTTTTTCAGCTCTTGTTTTACTACAGTGCTGTTACTTTTCTCTTACTAGAACTATTTCTCTAGGAAGGGTTCTCATATCTCATTTAGAAATAATTAGCATTAGTAATAATTAAAAAGACACTATTTGTTCTTCTAGAGGTGGTATAAATGCTAATAAATACTTAAAAGTATTAAGAGTATATAAGGCGAAAGCCTAACTATATAATCTGATATCATTTTACATGGATGAGAACCAGAATCCTACAAGTATGTTGCATGTCATGTTATGTGTAATGATATTCAGTTTTAGAAATTTATTTTCCTTTTGATATTATGAGTTGAAGTGCAACACAGCTAGTTGTCTCCATAACTTGAAGAAGGTCAACCTCAAAACATAAAACTTAATAATCCAACAATCAAATAGCCATAACATTTTGTTTTAATTATTCTGCCATTGGTAGCAATGTAATACTGTTGATGTCATTTTTAGAAACTGTTATTTTCAGTGTTTTCTGCATGAGATAAAAAGACATAATATGAAGATTTTAATGTTAATTGTGTCACTTAGAATTACATGATGTGTATCTTACAACCATTAGGTTTATTTGAAGTTGTCTGTATTTAGAAAAATATTCCAATTCCATGCGTGAATGTTTGCACAGTTTTTGATTAGGAAGTAAATATCTACTATACAACAGAAAAGAGAAAATTATATCAATAATTTCTATAGGGAAATCTAAATATAGTAATGTTTATACATAATGTATGTTTGTATGTATACAGAGTTAACCATGGACTTCTATTTTGAACTAACGGATTTTTCCTTATTGCTATAATAATGAAAACAGAACTCACTCTCTTTAAACACACATGTATGAGGCCAAAATTTTGTTCATGGTGTGTAGAATGTTCATGGAGTGTCTGATTTCATGAATCAGTTCTGCTACTTCCATCTTTAGTCAGGTGGATTTTTTGTACAATTAGGAAGAGTTAGAAAACAAATCCCTTTTCTTCACTGTATCCTTGCAAGGAAGGCCCTGTGCTCTGATCTTGCTCTTCAATCTATCCGTTATTTTAGGCTGCAGCAAAATTTACACATTTCCATCTCGATCCTTAAGTCTGCTTTTCTACATCAGAAAATCCTCCCAGGTTTCCCCTGGTGCTTACAGGTCTGCAGGCTCCAGTCCCTGCCTTGCCTGGCAGTGCTGCAACAGCCTCTTCCTACTAAGCAGATGTGTGGAGGAAAGTTCCCAGCCCTTTGGAGGGCTCCACCTAACCCAACCTGCAACAACCAGGAGATGGGAAATGGCCAGGGCTCCTCCCTGCACCTCAGCCTCAGTCATTTTAACAAAACACGTATTACCCAGGTGGTAAAGTAGGAGCATGTAAAACAGATGTATGCCCTGTCGTGTATCATCTTCAGAGACAAACCACCAGAGCGAGCAAGAGACACTAAGGGAAAACAAACAGGAACAGGAGGTACTTTGGTGTGGTTGGAGCTGAACAAAGACACCAAAATGGCATCGTTTACCATAGGTGCAAGTAGAACAGACAGACCCGCAGTGCTTTTTGAGGGTCAGGGAAAGATCACATAGTTACTGCGAAACTGCCTCTTGGCAGTGCGTAAAGCAAACCACAGGAATCAGAGGTACCCGCTGGGTTTTACACAGAGACAGGCAGTTTTTAGACTATGCAATAAAGGGTCAGAACAGAGGACTATTACTATTATTGTTAGGAAAATTATTTGTTTCCTATGGCCTCCCAGAAGGAGTAATGTCAGACAAATGTCCATAGTTTATTTCAAAGGAATTTGTAGCAATTATTAAACTGAATTGCTGACATATAGGGGCTTGTAATAGCCAAGTTTCAAATCAGCAACAGAATGAAGATTTGTCTGGCTGCAACAAAGACAGATTTATTATTTTTTTTTAAGGAAAAGACTGTGAACCTGGATTTTGAAGCTTAGGTGAAAAGTGACAAGAATGCTAGCCCAAGAAAAAGTGTAATGGAATGTAAATCTCATCTGCTGACACTGTTATTCTTAATCAAGGCTTTGACTAATACTATTTCAGAGCATTGAGATATTCTGGATTTTATAAAGGCTGTAAATGGGATTGATGAACTGAATTCAGCAACAGATAATATGGAACTCTGATTTGTAAACTCTTATTAATGTGTTCTTTCAAATAACCTCAGTAAAAGCAATAGGGATAATTTCATATACAAAAGTGTGTAGCATCTAGTTTGTGTGGTAATTATTGATAGGAAATCCTCATTTGCATTCCATCTGACTGTAATTCCCTCACATGGCAAAACTTGTCCAAAGCATATGTATCTGAAGGGACGTGCTCAAATAGAAGTAAACTCAAGTTCTGAGAACAAGTAGTCAAAACGACATCACAGAGTGCTAGTATTTGTGAAAGGATTCAACTTCAAGTCCCAAGAGAGCGCTCTGTGTGTGCATGCGTTTGTTTTTGTGTTTGTTTAGGTTTTTAATGTTCTCCCCTACCTGCACCCCCCCAACCCCCCTCCTTCCTCGAACCTGTCTCCACTGTATGTGGACTACAATCTTTCTAATTTAGTTTTAATATTGTCTCTGGAAGCAAGTATTTCTGCAATGATACTTCTGTACCTGACATTGCGTATGTTGCCTTACATGCCTTGACTGTACTTGAAGTGTGTTTTGTAGAATGTGGCATACAAATGATCTCTTTATGAAAACATATGAATTTTCTATGTGTAGTGGGGCTTGGGCAAACCGTAGATTTCTTTAGTATTTATTCCAAAGGTGGAAATTTGGACATCAGTCTTTACTGCACCTGTCTTTATCTGTCAGATCTGAAAGGATGCTTGTAGTTTTTACATGTACTTACCAAGAAGATGACATTAAAAAAAAAACAAAGAAAAAACCTCAACAAAACAACAACAACAAAAAAACAGTGTTATAGAGAAAGCCAGTTTCGGTGTTACAATAGGAAATTAAAAAAATCATATTGCAACTATTGAAAAAAATATTGAAAAAAGAAAATCTTCGACTTATCAAAGTACTTAACCAAGTTGAAGACTAATAAGTAGATAAACATTCAGAAGATCTTTAAACGGCTCTAAGTAATGCTCTAACCTGTTATATAGGATTTAACTCTTGTATTTACAGTTCATCAGGTATCTGCAATTTCTGCAGCAACCCTTGTATATAATTCTATATGATCAATTATTTAAACAACAGGCTTTTAAAGAAACATATATAGGTTATACTTCAATGTGATCATGGCTTGTATTTTGCTATTGGATCATTCAAGTTTTAGAATGAAGGAATTTTACTTGCAGCAATTCTGAAAACAGAAATCATGGCTGGTTGCTTTCAGTATTTGTGAATTAGAGACATATACTAATGTGAACATTAGCTTTCAGCAGAGTACTGTATGGAATTTTTTTCTGTTTTAATTCAGAGCAAGGACAAAAGGTCAGTCAGAAACTCAGTGGAGATCTTGAAGGTCTTTTTACATTTGGTATTGATTCACCTGCCTGTTTCTGTGTTCAGCTGATGCCTATAAAGAAACAATCGTATTGGAAAAATTTTCTAAGAAGGTGAATTTAGCACAAGGCTAAATTGCTGTGTATGGTGAATTTCTCTACAAGTATGAAAGAGAACAAGTCAGAAAAAGGAAAAACTGTATTGTGCTTATAATAGTTTTGATTTCTGAGTTCCTCTCTACTACCTACAATGGGTTTTCTTCTTCCTAAAGTGAAAAGAGAATCCATTTTTCAGCTCTTGACAAATTTTTGATATGAAATGGAGTCTACTGCCTGCTCTCCATGCCTTTTTATGTGAGTTATTGCTTAAATACTGTGCATAAAACCAGATATGGCTAATCTTGTCTAAGAACATCTGTGTGATATAAATATGCATATATACATAAACTCTTACCTTTTGTTTGCATATATATACATATAATCATACTTATGTTTACAGTACAGAAATATATTGTTATATGCATACATTATTGTATATTATGCATATATGATAATATGTTTACATAAGCAGTAACTTTCTATTACCATTTTGTTTTTCTTTCCTGTGTCACAGAGAATAGAACCTTCTACTTTCACATGATAAACTGCTCTTAACATCAATTTCATTAATAATAAGCATAGGTTTAGATGTTTACAAACCAAGAATGGCTGGTTTTAAAACTAAAACTATATTTATGTTGAATTATATTTGTGTACAGGAAGATGGAACCACTTCACAGTTTAAGTGTGATACCATATCTGATGAGAAAACAGTCCCTCTCTTAGTATTGTGGTATTTAACAAATTGCATGGTGCTTTTGTGATACCTAGCAGAGCAGCTGTCAAATAATAAACCGAGTTAGTAAGTTCTCAATAAGTTGAATCATTTGGCAATATAAACTTAGTTTCTCTAGTTTTTTTCCTTTATACTTTGTTTTATATTATCTTTGTGATTTTATGAATACAACAGCTAAAGCAGCTGTTCAAATTAATTTAATGTATAATTACTTGTTCTGTTTTGTTGTTTTCCAGCTCCCTCAGGCTCAAAAGGTAAAATATTTTAATCAAATCTTAGTCATTCAAAGTAGTCACCAGTCCTTCATGTTTCCATGGTGGTGTGAGTATGGTACAGTAGTGATCAGTGAAATAGTTCACTGTAATGAGGGCTCTGGAGTTGAGCAGCAAGAAGAGTGGCTGACATCAAGACCAGCTGAGGTACTTACAGTGAGCAGCTCTTCAAACATAAGAGCTATTTTAACTTGATAGTATATAGTAGCCTACAACTTTAAAAAAACAGGGAGGCTATTTTATCAACAATTTGATGTACTAGTAAGGATTAAAAAAAAAATCACCTGATTACTCCATGTGAAATCTCGAGATCATTTTGTCTGTGTTGTAGAGGCTGTAGAATCCATGGTACAGCTGGTACCCTTTCACTGCTCCCCACTGTATCTGCCAACACACCTTTGAACACATCCAACATTTGACTTCTCTAACTGGTTGCATACAGTTTTCATATAGTATGCTCTTGACCTTAAATAACTTCTGCATTGATATGGTATGTTACCAGAGTCAACACTGCACATCAGGATAGCACAATGATTGTGGCAAACTCAAAGAATTGCTTGATGCCTGTTGCATCGTCCTTGTATATTTCACAAATATAATTAATGCTTCCAGAAAACAGAAAATCTAGATGCTGTTTTGTGGTTTGCAGTGAAAAATATTAAAATGAAGAAATTAATGGAATATACTGGGAAATAGCCATACTCACTTGTCCGAGTCATGCTTATTGTGCTAGGTAAAGCACCTTTCATAAGAAATGTCATAGCAATTAATCAGTTAAACGTCACTGTTTTTAACAGTCTTGGAGGATAATTAAAGTTCAGCTTTTAATGAAAGCTATAGGTTAAGTGGCCTTCAATGAATAGCTTTTGCAGAATGTGAGGGCATTCACAGAACTCAAAATTTTAAAATGGTTAATTAATGTATTTCATCCTCTTTTTAGTTTAAAAAGCAAGAAATAGGAGCATGGAAGCTTTTATTTTTATACTATGTATATTTGAAACTTCCTTGCTTGTGGAGCTCAGAAAAATTCTATTTCAAATCTGCAGGTAATAGGCTATTTGTCTGTATGTCCATGGGTTGTTCTTGTCTTTTGATAGTTGCAGAGCCTACCAAATGTGACATGATAACAAAAATGGTTGCTTTTTTGGTTTTTATTTTTTCTTTACTTCTGGAAATAGATGATTTAAATAAGTCTTTTGTTTACAGCTTCCTGGAAAAGCAAAAGGGCTAAAAACTGGCTAGACTGGCTAACTTTGGCATTTCCATGTTCAGTTACGTGCCTAAAAGGTTATGCCAAATATGTCTCTTAACAGTTTGCAGAAAGAAAAGACTGAGTAAGGTTATAATAGGCTGGTGCAGAAAGATATAACCAGTCAGATTGTTTATCAAATTGTGTCACATGGTGCTATATTGTATGTGCTGATGTCCGCAATTCTGAGCTACTAAATAATGTTCTGGTACAAATTACTCAAGTTTGAAGTTAGTGAAAAAGCACACAGTTTCCATGGAAGATCAAAAATGCCTATTTCAGTGTGTTTAGCCTTGAGCAAGCTAATGCAGAAGTGAAGCCACATATTTTTTTGTATGCATGCATAATGTCTAGTTGACTGTATGCTCCTTTCATGCAGAGAAAGAGGAAAGGGGTAGAAAGGAGGGAATGGGATGGGAAGGGAGGACAGGTATAAGTAATCCACAAAGACTTGACAGCTTCAGGTAAGAAATAAGCCTTTTCATAAGCATGGCCTGATAGCTTATGAACAAAACAAGAGAATATCTCACTATCTGCAAGGTGAGGGGAAGCAGCACAGGGCTGATGCATAACTTTATGAATGGCTTAATCACCAGTGTACGTGTTTGCCATATGTTGTCTGAACTTGTGCTGCATTTTTGTTGGAATCTATATATCATCTTGCAAATGTTTTCTCTATAAACATTTCAAACAGTCACACCTCTCTATTCTTTGAGTGATCTGAAAGAAAAATGTGGTGTTCCAAGTTTACCTTTACTATTTTATATCTGTTATAAATACTTGGTCATCTTGATGAAATGAGTTATGTCTCTTATGTGAAACACTTTGGCTATGGTCCTCTCAGTGTTAGTCAATGTTCTATGTTGATTAGCTATTGATTTTGAAGACCTGCAGGTTCTCAACTCTCTACGGCAGTTAAGTAACAATTAAAACCTGTTACTGTTATGCTACCTCCTCTAAATCAAATTGGTGCAATTTCAGAGCTGGAGTGCAGGTGAAATGAAGTATGAGGAGTTTAAGGTGGATGTCTGTTGCACCATGATATTTGTCTTGAAAAGGTCTTTGTGATACATCCTATACTTAAAATAGAAAAGACCACAAAAACAAACAAACAAAAAACCCACCATAATTTCAGGTGACAGAGATGCCTAATTAATACAGTTATGTAACTTTCAGAAGAAAATACATCTTGGAAGAGCTAATGCATGTAAAAGAAAGAGCCAATATGCAGACAAATGGAAGAAATTAACATGAATTTTGTATGTCCTCTATGTTACTTTTCTGCACGTTTTTAGGTAACCGTCTCACAGGGCTGTGAAAATAGTAATAAAACAAACTAATAACTCGAATTTACCAATTTTCAGACTTTTTCAGTTTAGGTTCCAAAATGACCTTTATATTTGAAGCACTTTTGCAAAGCAGCTTTTGTATTCATCGATGAACAAATGCTGTTCTTCCTTAATAGCTCTAAAGGTGTTTTGTTTCCTAGTAGGAAAACTTTACTAGCTTTCTTGAGCAAACACAGCAGGATTCAAAATTGGTTGTCCTACTCCTGCTGTGATGTTTTGTTCTACTTAGCTTGTATGGAGAGGTAGAAGCGAATAAATTAGGCACACAAATCAGAAGCAGGTAATTGTGTTTAGGAACATTTAGGGAAGTTTTTTTTTTAGTGATTCTCTCATGAACAGAATCATATTTCCTCCATATAGAAATGTTTTGTTGATATTTGTTGCCCAAAAGTTCCTGACAGCTTTCTTCTCTCTTTCTGTGTTATCCCTTAACTTCTGTAAGTAGTGCTTTGCCCTCCTTTTATCTTGATGCTATCATCTTTCAGCCATTTGGGAGCATCATTTATCATTCCCTGCATCATTTACCTTCTTATACTTTGAAGTGTTGAATTAACTGTCACTGGGAGTAGAAAATAGAAAATCTGCAAAGCTGTTATTTCACTGAAGTGCATGACTAGTGATTCTAGCGTTTTTATAAAATTATAGGAGTTAAATTGAATCAAACAAAGTACAAAATAATCATGAAGTAAACATTTTGACCCTGATTTAGCATTCCTTTGGATCTGTTTCCTGCTAACGAGAGGCTACGGTCTTTCAGTTTCATAATGTATATAAAGCTGAGTGATCCATTCAGAAAATTGCATTAAAATTGTCACTTACATGTTAATCACAATTTAATTTCCAAATTTCTATCTCATGCATCTCAACAAGCAAGCTGACTTTTAATAACATTTTTGAGTCAGCAATTTGCAAGTTCTAAGTAACTATTTTACAATACGAGGGTTTTTTGGTGTTTCATTTCTGTGCAGTAACAGAAATGTCTAACTTAATATGCTCACACAGGTTTCTGTATTGTCTCAGGCCATAATTTGAATCTAAGCCAAAATAATAGCTATTCCTTATCCTAGTAGTCCATATAAAACACAATTAAATGGTCAAATTCCAATTCTGTGATGCTTCCAGCCTGCCTCATGACTCTCCTCAGCACATAGAAGCACAATAGTCACAGGAGAAGACGACCTCATGAAGCAAGCCTGTGTGAATTGAGGAAAGGAAGAAAGAGAGAGTTGGGAAGGTAGCAGGGTTATAAAAAGGTAGTGAAGAAAACCCAAAAGCTTCAGCATGAACCTCATACTTCAATGACATCCCTACAGTACTACTGTAAGAAAAGTTTGCAATGTTCCCATGCCCCACAGTTTCACCCCACTTTCAGTCTCTCGGAATATAGCAATGTTTTTCCGCTACTTTTCAATTGTTTTTTTCACAAGACTCTGAGGCCATGCCAGCAGAACTTCACTTTGACCTGTTTCCTCACTTAAGTCCCTCAAGTCCTATTTCCTTCCAGATCTTCAGATCAAAGGTTCCTATGTCACCAGAGCCGCACAGCCCTCCTCAAACAGTGGCTCGAGTGCCTCTGCTAGCCCCACCATATCTCCTAACCTTGCTTCATTTTTTGATTCAGAATGTTAGCTCTAATTTTAAGCTCTGTCCTCTAGATATAATGGCCTATGGACCTTTTCGACATTTCAATTTAATTAAATCTTGTGTAAATCGAAGCTCCTATTGTGGGATGGAGAAAAATCAACTAGGAACACTGTAGATCCAGAGACATTAGAATTCTAAGGAATGTTGTTGGGCTAGAAGTTAGTCTATGAGCAAATTTGGGCATTGTTGTGGTTATTTGATAGTTTCCAATAATCAGAATTGGTGGGAGATGAATCTGACTTTACTTAACACTGTTTGCTGCAACAGATATCCTGTTCTGTGCCACTGCATTACAGTTACAGTCCAATGGAAATGCAAGAATGAGGAATATGTCAAGCAACAAAAAAGTTAGTGTAAAAAAATTCTTATTTTGTTTTGCTAGGCATTGTTTAAATTGCGAACTGAAGACTGGATAGAATTATCACTATGGAAGTTAACTTCAGAGCTGGGTTGAACAGTTCTGCTAGGATTTCCTGACATATATCATAAACATAATAAATCTGTATTAAAAAAAAAAAGATAATTTGAGGTTTCACATCTAATATTTTCTTGGATTAATAGCTTTTTGATGTGGCAAAAGTTGGTGGAAAAAAATTCTAGAAATCCTGACACAAGTTGTGGTTGTTTAAGACATAAAATCTGAACTCTGAAAAAACATGAGGTTTAAATCTCAAAATTTGTTTCCTTTCTATGACTAATTATAGCTCAAAAATTAATGATAAGTAGAATTGCCCCATCGA